CAGAGCAGCTGGGACTTGAACTGGCACTTAGACACAGAATGTCAGCATCCCTAGTGGCAGATTAATCCACTGCACCATAATACTGGCCCTGTTCCTGTACTTTTTTTTAAAGACTTATTTTATTTGTTTGAAAGGCAGTGTTACACAGAGAGAAGAGGTGGGGAGAGAGAGATCTTCCATCTGCTGGTTCACTCCCCAAATGGATATAATGGCCAGGGCTAGGTCAGGCAGAAGCCAGGAGCTTCTTCTGGGTCTCCCACATGGGTGCAGAGACTCAAGCACTTGGCCTACCCTCTGCTGCTTTCCCAGGTGTACTAGCAGGGAACTGGATTAGAAGTGGGGCTGCCAGGACTGGAACCAACACCCATATGGGATGCTGGTGCTGCAGGTGGTGGCTTAACCAGTGGTACCACAGTGCCAGCACCACACCCCCTGTGCTATTTTTAAAACACCTTTATTGGAGCCTGCACTCTGGTATAGCAGGCTAAGTCTCCAGTTGCAGTGCTGGCATCCCATATGGGATCTTTATAAATATTTATTTTATTTATTTGAAAGACAGAGTTACAGAGAGAGGTAGAGCCAGAGAGAGAGAGAGACAGACAGACAGACAGAGGGGTCTTCCTTCTGCTGATTCACTCCCCAAATGGCAGAAACAGCCAGAGCTGAGTTGATCTGAAGCTAGGAATTAGTATCTCGTTCAAGGGCTCCCATGCAGGTGCAGAAGCCCAAAGACTTGGGCCAATCTCTACTGCTTTCCCAGGCCATAGCAGAGTTGGATCAGAAGTAGAGCAGCTGGGACTTGAACCGGTGCCCATATGGGATGTTGGCACTGCAGGCTGGGGATTTAACCCGCTGCGCCACAGTGCTGACCCCCTGCTCCTCTTTGATCCAGCTCTCTGTTATGGCCTGGGAAAGCAGTAGAAGATGGCCCAGTGGGGCCGGTGCCATGGCTCACTTGGTTAATCCTCCGCCTGTGGCACCGGCATCCCATATGGGTGCCAGGTTCTAATCTTGGTTGCTCCTCTTCCAGGCCAGCTCTCTGCTGTGGCCTGGGAGGGCAGTGAAGGATGGCCCAAGTGCTTGGGCCCCTGCACCGCATGGGAGACCAGGAGGAAGCACCTGGCTCCTGGCTTCGATTGGCGTAGCTCTGGCCATGGCGGCCATTTGGGGAGTGAACCAACAGAAGGAGGACCTTTCTCTCTCTCTCTCTCTGTCAAAAAAAAAAAAAAAAAAAAAGAATTTGGCCCAAGTCCTTGGGCCCCTGCACCCATGTGGGAGACCCGAAAGAAGCTCCTGGCTCCTGGCTTCAGATCAGCACAGCTCCGGCCACTGAGACCATTTGGGACTATTTGGGGAGTGAACCAGCAGATGGAAGACCTTTCTCTCTGTCTCTCCCTCTCTTTGTCGGTAACGTTCCTTCTCAAATAAATAAGTAAAATCTTAAAAAAAAAAAAAAAACACTTTTTTTTTTTTTTGACAGGCAGAGTGGACAGTGAGAGAGACAGACAGAGAGAAAGGTCTTCCTTTTCTGCTGGTTCACCCCCCAGTGGCCGCTGCGGCCGGTGCACCGCGCTGATCCGATGGCAGGTGCCAGGTGCTTCTCCTGGTCTCCCATGGGGTGCAGGGCCCAAGCACTTGGGCCATTCTCCACTGCCCTCCCTGGCCACAGCAGAGAGCTGGCCTGGAAGAGGGGCAACCGGGACAGAATCTGGCACCCTGACCGGGACTAGAACCCGGTGTGCTGGCGCTGCTAGGCGGAGGATTAGCCTATTGAGCTATGGCGGCGCCAGCCAAAAAAAACCCCACTTTATTAATGTAGTTTATATACCTTAAGTTTTTTTCTTATTTTCCTTTTATTTGAGAGAGAAAAAGATACAGACAGAGCTCACAGCTGCTGGTTCACTCCCTAAATGCCCACAGTAACTGGGGCTGGGTCCGTTCTGAAGCCAGGAGCCAGGAACACAATCCAGGTCTCCACATGGGTGGTAAGGACCCAGTTTCTTGATCTATTGCTGTTGCCTCTCAGGGTCTGCATTAGCAAGAAACCGCAGGGAGCTGGCGGTGCGGCACAGCGGGCTCAGCGGCCGCATTCCAGGGCAGCGTCCCACAGCTGAGAGCAGGTTTGAGTCCTGTTTGCTCTGCTTCTGATCCAGCTCTCTGTGAACAGAGCACCTGGGAACACAGCAGATGGCCCCGTGCTTGGGCCCCTGCCACCCTCATGGCAGACACGGATGGAGCATCTCTCTCTCTTTCTCTCTCTCTGTCGCTCTGTCTTTCAAATAGATAATAAATCTTAAAAGAAAAGACTAGAATCAGGAGCCAGAGCTGGGAACCCCAGCCAACTCCTTTGCTGTGGGATACAAACTATTAGATTAAACGCCCATCCCAATTTTCCCATTCTAAGTGTACACGTCAATGATTTCAGTGAATTCTCCAAGTTGTGCACACTATCCCAAGGCAATTCGGGGATATTTTCACCACCTCCCATGCTCCAGGCCCAGGCCCCCACGGACACCCTTTCGCCTGCTGGATCTGCCTTCTCCTGGCCACTTCACCCATGGAGTTGTAGTGGGTGGGCTTTCACAGGCGCCAAATCAGCAGTGTTTTGGAGGCTGCTGTCCTGTTTGAATGGATCACTGGGTGAAACTTGAAGTTCTGTAGAGAGGCTCGATGGTGTTTTATTCTTTTTTAAGATTTATTTGTTTATTTGAAAAGGCAGAGTGACAGAGAGAGGGGGGAAGATACACAGAGAGAAAGATCTGCCATCCAAAATGGATGCAAAGACTGGGGATGGGTCAGGCCAAAGCCAGGAGCCTGGAATTCCAACCAGGTTCCTCTACAAGGGTAGCAGGTACTCAGCTATGTTCCACTTTTTCCTGGCAGGGCACTGGATCAGAAGTGGAGCAGCCGGGACTCGAACCGGCACTCAGATGAGATGCCGGCGATGCAGGCAGCAGGTTACCTGCTGCACCACAATGGTATCGTATTAGTGTTAAACTCCTGGTTTACATAATTGGAAGTTAGAGAGGATGTTAACAGAAGAAGCTGCGTGGAGGATATATTTGTGCAATTCTAAAGTAATTTCAAAGGGAGTGTTGCTTTGTGGGATGCTCTGGGTCTGAGCTGCGCGCCGCCACTTCTGGCCCACTGCACCCGTGTTGGTGGTCTTTCTGCCTCCCAGGGGTCTTTGGCATCCTCTGGATGGTTCCTGAGGGCCGTGTAGGAGCCAGAGGCATAGAGGATGCATCATACAGCGGCTGGGGATCGGCTGTCGCTGCCCAGGTAGTGTTGGCGCCTCCAGGGCTGGACAGGAGCACAGGGACTGCTGGCTTTCTAGTCAGCCCAGGCGGGGCCCTGAGCCCCTGGGCAAGTGGAGAGAAAGGGAGATAGAGACCAAGGCCCTGGAGAAGGCTCCTGAGGCTGGGGCCCGGGTCCCTGCCCTGAATGGGGACTTCCTCTGAAACTGCTGCTGTCAGGCCCGAGTTTCCTGTGGCCAGGACCAAGGGGATGAACTCAGACGGGAGGACTTCCTGGCCTCAGAGGAAATGAGAGCCGGCAGTGAACTTGGGCAGACACACTGGCCTGTGAGTGAGCGCCAAGACCTCATGAGCAGAGAGACACAGGGGCCATGTCACGGTCGCCAGTGCCCAGGCAGTGAGTGGCATGTGCCTCCTCTTCAGGGGCCAGCCTATAGTCAGGGCGGTCAGGAAGGGCCCAGGAATGCATCTCTGTGTCCTGGCTCCTGTCAGCCTCTCCATCACTGAGCACACGCCTTGGGCTGGTGCAGAGGGCAAGCATGGGCACCCACCCCTGCCAGCTCAGAATCCCCAGAGCCCCAGCCAGGGAGTGTCTGGGATGAGGAAGGGCTGGACCGAGCCTTGGGGGCAGCACAGAAGGCTGCTGTCTGGGCAGCGAGGCTGGAGCTCCGGGGCCACACAGCTCTGATGGGTAGAAACCCCCTGCAGGGTGCGGGGGAGGGGCCTAGGGCGGCCCCGTGGCCCAGGCCCCAGCAAAAGGCAGTGTCAGTCCCCGTCCCTGTTGCAGCTTGCATGTGGCCTCTGTCACTGCTGACCAAACCTGCCCCCCATCCCAGCTGTGACCAGAAGGAGAAGTGGCTGGACGGCCCCGTGGAGCGTGCCAGGCGAGGTGGACTCAGGTGGCCAGTGCCCCACAACCCACAGGAGCCCCTTCCCCAAAGCGCAGAGGGCGTTGCCAGAGCTGCGGCTCACCACCAGGCTTGGCCCCAGACCTGGTGGGGATGGGGGGTTGGGGGGCAGGAGGCTAGCTCTGTCCAGACCACAGGACCTCGGTGCTGGGGGGTTGGGGGGCAGGAGGCTAGCTCTGTCCAGACCACAGGACCTCAGTGCTGGGGGTGGGGGCTGGGGCCGCAGAAAGGGAAGAGGAGGCTGCTACCCTGAGCCAAGAGGAATCTGGAGGAAGGGCGTTGACCATTCTAAGACGGGGGGGCCGGGGCCGGGTTCTGCCATCCTGCCAGAATGCTTTGGGACAGGTGGCCCACAAAGCCAGGCGGCAGAATAACCCTGTGTGTGGTGCCTACACAGCTCTGAGGGAGCCTGGAGGTACTGGGACTCCATTCTGAGGCCAAAGGGAGCTGGGAGTGGCTGCAGCAGGAGGGGCTGTGGTCAGCATTCCACCACTGAGCAGCCTTGGGCAGGGTGGGGAAGCAGGTGAGTGGGTGTGCGTGGGGGATGGGTGGGAGTGGAGAGGGCGCAGGGAGGAGCCCGCAGCGCCCGGGACTGGATGCAGAATGAGGGACATGTCTGAAAGGCTAGCTGGGCCTGCTCAGGGCACAGGTCCTAGGAGACACTGCTCGGGGCCTGCCCTGGGACTGTGGCCATGGGTTTCACTGCTCCTGTGTCCCCGAGTCCCCACGGGCCTGACCTCCCACGGAAGGAAACTGGGATCTGGTGCCGTCATTTCCTGGGGAGGGGGGGGGGGTCCCAGAGGCCCGTCTGCAGGCCCGGATTGGTGTGCTGAGGTCTGGACACCGGTGGCCACCCTGCCCCTCCCCGGCAAGGCGGGGCCGCCCCGGCACTGACCGCTCAAGGCGCAGTGGCTGGAAGAAGCGGAAGCGGATGAAGTCCCCGGCGGCAGGCGTGAAGGCCCAGAAGAAGTCCTCACGCAGGTAGGCCTTCTCCAGGGTGAAGTGCTGGTACGTCTTGAGGCTGGTGCTCACCTCGGCCGGCGGGTTCACGTGCTCCTTCCGCAGAGCCTGTTTCCCGAAGTCCTTGTCCTACAGCCACTTGGGGGCTCAGGCACCCGGGACTGGAGCCAGGATGAGGTCTGAAAGGCCAGCTGGGCCTGCTCAGGGCACAGGGCCCGGGGGACACTGAAGCTATGCATTCACTGGACACGTCCAACGTCGGAAGGAGCCTGGATGGCCAGTGTGGGCTCCGCCAGCACAGAGGCAGGGCACAGAAAGGGGCCAGTGGGAGGAAGCGGGCAGCCTGTTCCCAGCCTGGTTTCCGGCTTCCAGCCTGGCCAGGATCCATGGCTCAGTGGCATGGTCACATGTGCCCCTCCCTTCCCTGCAGCCCTTGGAGAGGGGCGGGGAGGGTGCTGAGGCCAGCCTTCCCCTTCTTATCAGCAGACGGGCTGATAGGAGCTCTCCGGCACCATGAAAGACGAGATAGCTCTCCTGGCCACTGTCACCCTCCTCGGAGTCCTGCTGCAAGGTGGGCTTTCTCCTGTCTGGTGTGGGTGGGCTTCAGATGCCTGCAGCCGGGGAGGGTGCCGCAGCCCACACTTTCCGGCTTGAGAGCCAGCTGCGGGGCTCACAGTTTCCCAGGGCTGGGAGGGGGGTAGCCCTGGGGGACAGCTGCAGGTGAGCTCAGGAGTCCTGGGCAGGGACCACGACCAAGAGGGGTGCCTGAGCAGGGGGACAGTAGTGGGGGCTGGTGGCCCCTTGGCTAGAGAAAGGACGCTAACTTCTCTGTTGAGCTGCAGGAGCTGGGAGGATGCGAGACCGAATGGCGAGGCAGCTTGAGCCTGGTGCAGAGCCCACCTTCCCAGCGGTCCCCATCCATCTCTGCACCCTGGGGCTGGCTGCGTGGACTGGGAAGGGCTGAAACCTGCTCCCCAAGCCCCCTCACTCCAGTGTGACTGCTTGTTGCCTATCTTGGGCTGGCCCCAGAGGGCACACCGCTGGGCCAGGCGCCTTGTGGCATGGGGACACCAGTGGCCCTCGGTGTGTGGGCTAGGATAGGGCACAGCCCCCGCCCCGGGGGGGTCCGGGAGGGCTGGAAAGAGTGACTTGACCTTCAGCTGAGCCAGCAAGCTGGCACCTTCTCATGGAGCCTGCCCCTCACCCCACCCCGATCCCTCATGACAAATCCCACACTGTGCTGGCATGGCCACCTGTGGGACCCACAATGCTCATGGGCTAGCTCCATAAGGGCCTGGACCAAAGATGTCCCAGGGAGACCTGCCACTGGGGCTGTGGGTGTGGTCACGGCTCGGGGAGGAGGGGGAGAAGAGTTCTTTGTAAGCAGAGAGGGCCAGCCCACCGTGTTCAGCTACTCACAGTGGAAGGGAGGGAGGTGGAGCCCGGGGTGAGCTGGGATCGTCCCAGCTGCAGTCATGTTCTAAGGGAAAGGGGTATCTGTCAGAATTGGGCCTGGGCCCAGAACCATTGGCCTGAGAAGCTGAGGCAGCAGCCGGGCCCCCAGACACAAGTTTGAGTGACCCTGGCTGGAGGCAGAGTCCAGGGGTCCCCAGTGGTGGGCCTGAAGGTGAGGCCCCTAGGGACCTGAGAGCCATAGGCTGTGCTTGCTGATACCTCCGGGGCACTTCCTGTACAGGGGAATCTGGAGAGCGCAAACTGGGCACCCACCTGTGTTTTGCAAATCAAACGATTCAGGAGGCAGGTGTTCTTGTGCCCTTATCCCTCCCCCCCCCCCAACACACGGGCAGGGCAGGGCTTCCTTGCCCCCAGCCCGCCCTCCCACTGGGCAAGATGGACACAGGAGGGGGCAGGCGGGGAGACCATCAGACAGAAGTTTTGGGGTGCTCACTCAGTGCGGGGGCCAGACTGGAGGGGCGACCACACCTGACGCCCGCTTCCGCGTGCCCCCAGCCTACTTCTCCCTGCAGGTGATCTACGCCAGAAGAGCCTTCCGCGTGTCGCCGCCGCTCACCACTGGTCCGCCGGGATTCGAGCGCGTCTACCGAGCCCAGTGAGGCGCGGGGTACAGGGCGGGCTGTCCCGAGTGGTTCTGGGTCCCAGCCGGCCAGGCCAAGTCTCATCTGGCCCGCCCACCGCCCGCAGGGTGAACTGCAGCGAGTACTTCCCGCTGTTCCTCGCAGCGCTCTGGGTCGCCGGCATCTACTTTCACGAAGGTCTGCGCGCAGGGCAGGGGCACAGGGCAGGGCGGCCCGGCCACGCCCCCGCACTCACCGCGTGCCCTCTGGCAGGCGCCGCGGCCCTCTGCGGCCTGGTCTACCTGTTCGCGCGCTTCCGCTACTTCCACAGCTACGAGCGCTCGGCGGAGCTCAGGTGAGAGGCGGGCGGGGCGGGGCTCCTGGGAGGCCGAACTGCGGGCGGGAGGCGGGGAGAGGCTGGGAGCGGGGAGGCCTGGGGCCCCCGCGGAGGCCCGAGCCCTGAGCGCTGTCGCCTGGCTCAGCAGGCTGGCCCCGATGTACCAGAGCGCGGGTGCGCTCTGGCTGTTGATCGCGCTGGGGGCGCTCGGCCTGCTCTCGCACTTCCTCCCGGCCCCGCTGCGCGCCGCGCTGCTTGGCTGGCTCCGGACGCTGCTGCCCTGGGCCTGAGACCCGGTCTGCCAGACTGAGGAACACCAGCGCCTCCTGGAGAGGGGAGGGCAGTCCTCCTCTGCCGCCAGGAGTCTTATTAAAGTTCCCCTAACTGGACTTCTGCACTCCGGCTGCTTTCTCTGGGGCACAGACGACTGCGCACAGCCTGCTGCAGAGCCTAGAAGGGCTGCAGCAGTCTGGCAGGCTTCATGGAGGCGGCGTCAAGAAGAAAAGAAGTCTCCTGGGGGTGCTTCTGCCTTGCTCTCAGTGCCTGCTCCTTCTCAGGCGCTCTCCTCACCTGGCCCCTTCCTCTCGCCTTGCCTGCCAACCTTCAGCCACCCTAGTCCCTGCCCTCATGAGTGACACCAGCCTGTCACTCTAAGTGACAGGGCCTCTCAAAGGACAGGCCCCTGCAGGACGGGGAACAGCTGGGGCTTGGGCTGTTAGGGTGATGACATCAGGTGCTCAGGGGGCAGGGAGGCCTCGGGAACCTGGCCCTGGAGGCAGGGCAGCCCAGAGTCTCCAGCCGAACAGAACCGGGACAGTGGCACAGAGCGCAGGGAGGGGGCTGCCGCCGGGAGCACTCCTATTAGAGGCACAGGCTTCATTAACCCTTTATTACAAGTCACGCTCTTATAGAAGTATATGTGGACTTACGTGAAAAAATCAAATGTATCCAAGAATAAAAAACACAGCACATAAAGTAGTATATGCATTCCAGTGTTCGCGCTGGAGAGAGGGCGCCCGAGGGGAAGCGCTTCCAACGTGGCCTGGCCGGGCCGGCCGGGCGAACGGTCTGGGGGTCTGGGCGGCTGGGCCGGCCCGCAGGCACAGTGTGGGGGCCCTGCGCCCCGCGGCCCGGTGGGCAGGGGCAGCACCAGCTCCTGGGGCCTCCGGGCCAGCGGTGGACCCCGGGCCAGCCCCACGGGGCATCCAGGCCGGGCCCTCCGGGGGCAGCAGTGATGCAGTGTGGTCGGGGGCCGCCGAGCGCCCGCCGGAGCCTGCCGCTCAGTCGGCCTTCTTCAGGAAGATCTGGCAGTGCCCAAAAGAGGGGGCTGGGCTCAGCAAGGCTGTGGCGAGGCCATGGAGCCACGCCCCGAGCCCACCCCTGCCCCCGGCCGCCTCACCTCACTCAGAATAACCCACACAGGCGAGTCCGTCTGGATGGAGAGGCGCAGTGCCTCCAGGGGACCAAAGGCAGGGTCCACCTCGCCTTCTGCCACACCCTTGTAGAAAGAGCCTGGAAGAGGGTGGGGCCGTGAGGTCCGGGGCGTGCCCAGCCCTGCCCCTCCCGCCGAGAGCACTCCCCCCCCCTCACCTATCTGCAGGTAGCCGTCAGGGCTCCGGGGGTAGCGCAGCGTGGCCGAGCGGCCCTCCTGCAGGGCCTCCTTGTCCGACTGGGGGTTCTGGGGGCAAAGGGAAGGCCCTGAAGCTGTAGCCGGCTGAGGGCCAGGCCTCCATGCACACCCACACCCTGCACCACTCACGTCGAAGGGAAGCACCTCCACGGACGTGTTGAAGAGCTTGTCCTCCGGGTGCTCAATGTTCCCGCTGCGGAAGAAGAACCTGCGGCCAGGCCGGCCCGTGAGCCGCGGCCGTGGCCATGGGTTTCTCTACGCGCTGTGTCCCCTGAGTCCCCATGGGCCTGACCTCCCACGGAAGGAAACTGGGAACTGGTGCCGTCATTTCCTGGGTGTGGGGGGGGTCCCAGAGGCCCATCTGCAGGCCCGGATTGGTGTGCTGAGGTCTGGACACCGGTGGCCACCCTGCCCCTCCCCGGCAAGGCGGGGCCGCCCCGGCACTGACCGCTCAAGGCGCAGTGGCTGGAAGAAGCGGAAGCGGATGAAGTCCCCGGCGGCAGGCGTGAAGGCCCAGAAGAAGTCCTCACGCAGGTAGGCCTTCTCCAGGGTGAAGTGCTGGTACGTCTTGAGGCTGGTGCTCACCTCGGCCGGCGGGTTCACGTGCTCCTTCCGCAGAGCCTGTTTCCCGAAGTCCTTGTCCTGCGGCCGCAGGGCGGGCGGCGGCGCGCTTCAGGCACCATGGCCTGGCTCTGCCCATCCCCCCCCAGGCCCCCAACCCCAGCACGCTGAGCATGCCTGCAGCCTACCTTCAGTTTCTGGATCTTGCCCGCCAGCGAGGAGTGAGTGCCCACGTGCTGGAAGAGCGACGGCTTGAAGCGGATCCGCAGGTTGGCCTTCTGCCGGTCACAGTGCTTCTGCGAAGGGAGAGGGAGGCCCGGGGCTCGGCTCGGCAGCGCAGATCCGGTTGTGTGGCCCCGCCGCCCCGCCCCGTCTCCGCGTGGCCCCCTACTCACCGCATCCTTCTCCGGGTTGCAGACTTTCACCCACAGAATGTGGTCCAGAAGCCAGTCGATGGGCTTGTCCCGGTAGAACATGAGGGTGAACTCCACGATCAAGCTCAGGTCCAGCGACTTGAACATCTTCCCTGGGGCAGGACCGGGGAAGGGTGCTCAGTGGGCAGCACTGCCCTACCCCGCCTCTTCCCAACACCTTGTAGGAGGGGGTGCTGGGCAAGTCCCACAGCCATTCCCCTGGGCGGTCTCAGGAAGTGTGTAGACACAGGGGGACAGGTGAGGCTGGGGGACCCTGACTCCCCCGTGCAGCGGGCACTGCAGGCAGGGCCAGGTCTCGGCCTAAGGCTCAGAGGCAGGACACAGCCCAGGCCCGGGAGGAGAGACGAGGGCGGAGGGTGGGGGCGCACCGATGAAGCCCAGCTGGGAGAACTCCAGGATCATCCAGTCCTCGGAGGGCTGCTGGAGTGCAAAGTTCTTCATGGTGCTCAGATAGTTGGGCTTGGCCACGATGTCATCTTCCAGCTGCACAGGGTTGGGTGGAAGGCGGCAGAAATTCAGGGTGGGCACAGGGGCGGGGCGGGGCTCGCCCCTCCCCCAGGGCCGAGGGGCTGACCTGCACGTAGTAGACGCCTTTGGACTGCGCGTACATCATGAGGAAGCAGTAGTCGAGGTTCTGTTTGGTCCTCCACCTGCAGGCCAGAGACCTTGGGTGTGGCTGCCACTGAGAAGTGACATTGCCACCCTCCCCCCACCCGGCCATGCAGGGCTCCTCTGGTGGAGACTCAGAAACCCCGCAGGCAAGCACCCCAGACTCAGACCCCCAGGGACAGGACAGCAGGGCACTGGGAGCGTGGGAGCAGTGCCAGTACCTGACTCTCTCTTTGGGGTCCCCAAAGGACTCGCGGAGGCGGGAGAAGTCAGGGTAGAAGTGGGGGGAAGGGGAGATGACCTCCAGGAGCCCCGAGTGGATCTCCGTGGGGAACCTGGGTGGCGGGAACAGAAGGCCCTCTGGGGCAGGGGGCTGCACAGCCCAGCAGCCCCTGTCCCAGCCCCCCCATACCCAGCCTGCAGAGGCAGTGGGTTTCAGCGGCACTGGGCTGCCTCCACGCACCCTCCCCCACTCCCTGCAGAGACCCCTCCCACCAGCTTTCTGGGGCTGCCAGGACTCACAAGGCCTTGATGTTCTCTGTCACCGCTGAAGTGTACTGTGGGTCAGTCTGTGGGGACACCAAGTACCCTCCCTTAGCCCAGATACCACCCCAAAGGGCCGGGAAAGGGTCAGGAAGGGGCTCAGCCTTCCAGTGTCCGGCAGGTAGAGGGGGTGAGCTGCCAGAAGGAGGCTGGGCTTGGGGGCCTAGTGCCTCGGGAAAGCCCTTTGGGATGGGAGGGGCTGTGGGTGGGGCAAATGAGGGCAGGGGCATTCCCACCAGGGGGCGCCAACAGGTCGCTTTCTTTTTAAAGCGAACCAAACTGATGACTGAGCTTCTTCATAAAGGCTTTTTTCTCCCGGATGTTGTTCCTTTTCTTGTCATCTTGCGCTATGGGTCCTGCTGTGAATGGCCCCCCACCCTGCCCCCACGCCACTCGCCTCGGCGATCAGCACCACGATGACAGAGTCCTCCTTCTCCTGCGGGCTCAGCTCCGAGATGAGCGAGTGCAGCGTGTCCGTCAGGTAGGAGTGCACCTCCCGCCGGACGCTCGGGATGCCCATGACCACGGACACTGCAGGGTGCAGGAGGTGGTGACACTAGGCCCCCGGACCGGAGCCAGGATGCACCTGGTCCACTTCTCGTCGCCCCCCAGGTGCACCCCTACCTCCGGTGCGGCCCTGGCCCACGCGCACCGCTGGCTGCAGGCTGCTCTCCTTGGCCAGCAGGTGGGGCAGGTGGTGGAAGACTGTAGGCAGGTGCAACACGTGCCTGTGTGAGATGTTCCAGGGCTTCAGCCGGGGGTCCTCTGGGAGTTGGAAATGGACAGGTCAGAAAGCACCAGCCAGGACCCGCCCACCCCCAGGTCTCCCTCGCTGCCCTGGAGCGCACCTGTCAAGCGGCCCCAGGTGCGGTTGCTGTCCCCGTCTCGCAGTGCCTGCCTCTCTGACACAGCTCGCTTGATCTCATCCAGCACCAGGTTGAGCTCCTTGGAGCGCTTAAGGCTCTCCTGCTCAGCCGCGTGCAAACGGTCCCGCAGCGCCAGGAACTCCCGCTGGTAAACATCCACCACGTCGCCTGTGGGTGGCACGCAGCTGTCACCAGGGCACGGCCCGAGGGGGTGCCCTGTGACAGCCTGGGTGTTCTCCCTGTGGCCATCTGCATCTCCTTCTCCTTCCTGCCACAGCAGGGTCACTCCAAAGTCACATGCAGGAGAAAAAGCCCCCAGTGGGAAGCCAGCCCTCTTCCTCATTATTTTCTCTTGTGAGAAGGGCTGCGACACCACAGCCAGCTCCAGCCAGGCAGCCCTCAGAAGAGCTAAACAGCCTCAGGCCCAGTCCCCTTGCTTCTTGCTGGGGGTGAAAGGACCTGGCCAATCCAAGGGGATCATCATCCCCAGCCTTTCCCCTCGGCGCCCACCCTTCCCCAGGGAGGGGGTCATTGGCGCCCCAAGCCCCTGGGGAGAGCCAACTTCCATGGCTGCAGGGTGCCCATTCTTCACTGGCCTTGTGGTCACATGGGCCCTGGGAGTGCCGGCACCCCTGAGCCAGTGGGTCGCCCGGCCACCTGTGAGACCATCAAGGAGACGAGCTGGGAATCTGACTCTGGGCCGGCCTGGGAGGGTCTGCACGGCACCACAGGGGGGCCTTTGCTAGTAGCACTGGAAGCAGCACGCAGGTGGAATCCTTGGGGTGGGCAGCACCAGGCTCCCAGGGAGTGGGAAGGAGATAAACAAGAGCCTGGGCACGCGCCAGCCATTCGCAGGGGCTGGGCACTCTCGGCCTGACACTCCCGCGCCTGCTCTCTTCCTCTGTGCACCTCCTGTCCCTCGGAGACGCTCTGCCTTGGCACAGGCTGCTGCTTCAGCCTGGAACCCCACTTGGGTAAAAGGCCCCCGCAAGGCCTCCTTCCCAAGGCGGCTCTTTCCATTCTTGATCCCCAGGGCTTCAGGACCCGTCCCCCCAAGCCCTCTACCACCCCCTCCCCAGTACCCTGGAATGTGCGCTCTGCCCAGCCCCTGTACACCAAAGGTCACAAGCCAGGCAGACTTCCACAGGAAACACCCCTCCTGTGGCTCACAGCGCAGGTCTGAGTACAAAGTCCCAGGGGAAGAGGGAGAGGAGAGGGGCGGAGCTGGTCCCCATGGCACCTGTCCCAAGAGCAACTCACCCACCAATCTCCCCCCACCCTGCGTCTCTAGGGGCTAAAGGCCTAAGCCACATGGAGCCCTGGGACAGCCCTGCAGGG